GTGACCTAGACAAATTGGAGGATTGGGCTAAAAGAAATCTCATGAGGTTCAACAAGAACAAGTGTAAAGTCCTGCACTTAGGATAGAACAATCCCAAGCACTAGTACATGGGGATTGACTGGGTAAGCAGCAGCTCTTCAGAAAAGGACTTGGGGGTTACAGTGGACAATAAGCTGAATATGAGCCAGCAGTGTGCCCTTGTTGCCAAGATGGCTAATGGCATGCTGAGCTGCATTAGTAGGAGTGTTGCCAGCAGGTCAAGGGAAGTGATTGTTCCACTTTATTCAGCGCTGGTGAGGCTGTATCTGGAGTACTGTGTTCAGTTTTGGGTCCCTCACTACAGAAAGGATGTGGACAAATTGGAGAGAGTCCAATGCAGGGCAGTGAAAGTGGTGAGGGGGCTATGGCACATGACTTATGATAATAGGCTGAGGGAACTGGGCTTATTTAGTCTAGAGAAGAGAGACTGAGAGAGGCAGGGTTTGAAAGAGGATGTAGCTAAACTGTTCTCGGTGGCAGATGACAGAACAAGGAGCAATGGTCTCAAGTTGCAGCAAGGGAGATTTAGGTTGGATATTAGGAAAAACTTTCTCACTAGGTGGGTAGTAAAACAGGAATAGGTTACCTAGAGAGGTGATGGACTCTCCATCCATGGAGGTTTTTAAGATCCAGGTAGACAAAGCTTTGGCTGGGATAACCTAGTTGCGGCTGGTCTTGTTTTGAGCAAGGGATTGGACTAGATGAGGTCTCATTCAGCTCTAATTTTCCATGATTCTTTGATTTGGGGATTAATTCTGATGAGGACTAGCTTGCTATAATGGATAATAAAGTAAAACCCTTGCTTAAGTTCCTTCATATAGTCTCAGCAGTCATATCACAGAAAGTAACTGATGGCTCGTTCTGTGTTCAGAGGGAGGCAGAGTATAGCCTGGGAGATCTTCAAACTATCTAGCTGTCCCTCTGATTTAAAAAAAAAATTAAGAAAATTCCCATGCCCTGGAAGGGCAAAAACCAATCACAGGCTTGTCAAGCAGCACCTGTAGAAAACCATTCTTCCATCTTCTAACTGCATAGACAGAAAGGATCTCTTAGCTCCCCTTCTCGTCGATTTTGATGTTGCCTAAAATAAATTCTTAGAATCTTCTTTTGCAGTGACAATTTCTGCAGTGAGGTTTGAGTTCAGCTAAACCCATGCATTGCTCTGAGTTGCTGGATTCCACCAGCCTAATACAGGCTCTCTGGGAGTTTATTCAGACTAGGTAGACTGGCTTGGCCATTGAGGCCTTGAGAATGCTACCATAAGATTTTACATGTTTTCTTGATTGCTTCTCTCTGGTGTGTTTCCTTTTTCAAATTGTAGCATCCATACTTCAGTTTCTCTGACTGCTTTGCTTTGACACTGGCAGTCATACAGTTTTTGAAGTCTTGCCTTCTGTAACTCTTCTTTCCTTGTTCTTATTCTACCTTTTTAATAGTTTTGTCAGCACCTTCCATTCTCCTGCAGTCTCGCACTGTTGTTCTTGTGCTTGACTTCTCTTCTTCCTGTAAACTGTTTCTGTGTGATTTTTTTTTTTTAACTATGCTGTTGACACTCAAACCTACTCTTTTTCTTTTGACAGATCAGTTTGTTTCTTTTATTACTAAAATAGGACCACATAAACTGTTTCATGGTGATGAATTGCACAGTAGTATAAATTAACCTTCCTGCATTGTTTTGAAAAAAGTGATCCATATGGTTCCCTCATGCATGGCATAACCTTAAACATTACTCTGAGAACGGTAATGATAATGGTAATGGTCCAGGGTTAGAAGCACGCTCTTTTAGCTTCAGTTCTCTGGTATCACCTTGTCTAAATTCTTCAAGGTAACTGTTAAGTTTGCCCTATAGGTAACAAGTCTTTAGTAGTGAAGAAGAGAGAACTTTAACTTAAGCTCATGTCTGACACATTTGCTATTATGTTACCAGCCCTGCAGATGTTTCCTTCCTTTCTAGTTTAAGGAGGATGTAGCTGTTAAATAATAGAGGCCTCTCCTAATGAGGCTATAATAAAACAAGGAAGTTCTTAATTTCTTTTTGTTTTTGTTTTTTTTTCCTAACTAAATAAGGTTACGTGGAATTTACTATTTTTAATACTATGAGGCGTGTCTGTCACTAGCATGTTAATTGCAAGATAGAAAGAAAAACAAATTGCAAAAGATACTTTGCTCCTCTGGAAAGCTCAGTTTTTTCCCACAGCCTCATCCTGTTTTCCTGAATACTGTCCCTTGAAATATTCTGTGGTGTCATAAAAAGTGTAAGAGGTCATTTGAATAAGTTGCACTAGTTTAACTAAAGAGGTTTACATCTGGTAAACTATATATCTCTATATATCTATATCTATATCAATATATATTGCATGAGTTTTAGTATAGTGATAACAGTGAAGGAAAAAAGAATTTGCTAAGTACATTTTTGTAAAGGGACACTAACCAGTGTGCTGCCTGTCTTATTTTGCTGGAGCTCTTCTGAAGCTAGACTGAAAAATTGGAAAAGTGCACTGCATTGGGTTCACTCCCTTAAAACTATTAAGGATAGAAGCTTTTATACACTCAGATTTTAAATTCTGAAAAAATTGATCTCTTAGGCCTGTGTTTGCACAGGAAACTTAGTAACAAGCTGTTTTTTAAACGTCTACCCTGTACCTTTCCTTCTGAGCTTTGTTGAAGGAACCTGAAATAAAGCATGTTGGTTACTTGCATGTCCCTGCATTGTTTCTTTTTTCTTTTCATTCCTTTTTATATATTGCAGTTAGTGAGAGAGAGAGATATTATTTTTCAGGAATTCAAACAAACGCACAAATCTGACCTCTGCTTTTAGCCTAAGATATCCTGCTAATAAAGTTAGCTTTTGAGTTACTCGTGTGGGAATGATGCAAATAGGATTATGTAATGTTAATATGGGAACAGCCATGGAAAGGCAGGTGTTTAAGCCTGGGAATATACTTAAATGAAGTAGAGATGTCCAAACTGTCCCCACCCTTCCAGGGGCGAGGGGATCTCCAGAGCTGTGCAGTGACAGTGGCAGCAGACAGGTGGGTTCCACCTCCCTATCTGGTTCATTCAGGTGTTCCCCAGCTAGTGCAGGGAGGGGAATCCCACCTGCCCACCGCTGCTGCAGCTGTTCTGGGCTGAGTCCATCCCCTGCACAGCTTGGCTGGAGCAGCTCTTGAGCTCTCCTTGCCCCCACACAGTGGCAGCAGCTGGTGGGGTGTTAGGAAAGGGGAGAGGGGAAGGGACATCTGAGCAGGGTATGGGAGGGGGAATTCTTATCTGCTGCTACTCCCATGGCACAGTCTGCCCACTCTAGTTGGTGGGAAGGAAGAGGTTGGAATCATAGGGTGCACCCATCCTTGCATCCCCGCATAGTAAAATCCTGACCCTACTTCTGGCTGAGTCCTTCAGTATCTTCCCACAATTTTCCCAGAAGGACACAGTAAATCTTTACAACTCTCAGTTTACTAGGATGCTAAGAACCATGAAATTGTGCCTGGAGAAGTCTTAGTAGCAGACACAGGTGAATGCAGTACCATTGAGAGAACATTGTGCAGGAGCTGAAGATTGGAGAACAATCCCTGATTGGCCCTGTCCAGTTAGAATAGTTTACTCTTGTCCAGTTTGAGCCTAAAATCAACAGGGAACCTAAACCTCATGAATGCTAGAAAGCTGAGGGGTTCAGTGATCGGATAGAAACTCATGGAGTGAATGTGGGCTCTGTCTGGGAGAGACGAGAAACAAACTGAGTAACACATACAGACAATGAATGTGCTTTATGCTGCTTTTCCCTGCCAGAGATGGCATCAGCTGGACATAGGCCTACTTGAACAAGCTGGCAGATTGAGGATAAGGTATAAGTAAGCCTTGTGTAGGTCTTTTATGGTTTTCACCCTCTGTTTTACCTGCTTTGTTCCTTTCAGTAGGTAGTGAATAATGTATTGTTCTGTAAATGCTGGGGCATTTTTTTTCATTGCAGCAAACTTATAGTATCAGATGTTTCCACAGGGGAAAGTGTTATAGGTGCCAAAACCAAGTATGGCTTATGTTGGTAACCTGGCTGAGGACTGAGGCAGCTGTAGCCTAGAGAGCCAATTTAACAGTGACTGGACCTCATGACTTCACCCAGAATGAGGTGCATGATGCCAGGCCTGTTTATCAGCGGGTGCACTTAATCATAGGGTTCTAAGATGCAATTTGTCCCAAAGCCCTGCTGTGTATTTCTATTTTTGCATGCTTTCTGATCAGATAGGCTTATTTAATTTCCATCAATAAGTAGGAAAGGAAAAACATTCTTGGTACATTTTAAATTTGTTTCTAAGAGAGTGGTTTCAATCTCCCTGTGCCTTTGAGTCTGAAGAAAGGAGCACTTCAATGGTATTTTTTATCTTCAAATACAATTTTAAAATCATATTTTATAAGTGATGGATCTTTAAGGTGTTGGCTGTATAGCTAATTGGGTTTTCCCTGTCCATCAAAGTATGTTTCCTGTTCTGTAGTGCTAACTAAAAGGATCAGGTAGTGCAGGTAGCATGGGTGCTTGGCTTTAAAGGACCTTACTTTAACTTTATGCCACATTGGATAAGATCAAGTGGGATTTGTTAAAAGAACTTTTGTTTGTTTGTTTGTTTTTTGAAATTGCAGGTGAAAGGGACTTTTGGCAAAGAAAAAATATAAAGAGCAAGGAAAGTGAAAGCCGTGAATGCAGTCAAGTAGGGTCCTCAAACTAAAAGCTTATGATTATTTTATAGCTTCAGTACAGCAGAACTGCACCTATGCAACTGGAGGGGTGGGGGAGAGAGGACAGGAAATAAATTAAAGAATTTACCAAATTAGATATAGCAGATAGCTATTATAGTATAATGTATTTGAAGTTTTTAGGTGGCTGTGGAGGTGGGTAATTGGAGGCAGGTGCCTTCCACTTTGGTTTGCTTACAGACCTGGCCTTGATTTTAAGCAGTGGCTGAAAGATGGCTGCTGAATCTCTCTGTGGAATAGTGATTATCTCAGCCCGTTCCAATGGGCAAATTTCCACATCATACAGCTGTCAACAAGCTGTCACTTTTCTTGGTATTTTCAGCAGAAAGCTGCACATGCCTAGGCATTGATAATCTCTTACTGAGACAGCTTACCCAACAAGGCTTTCTTGTTGAGATATTGCTGGACAAGTCAGGAGCATTACCACACAGGCTGCTTCACTTTACAAAGGTACTTGGTGTGACTCTGTTCTTACTCATCCCCATCCCTATCCCTATACCTAAAACTGCCAGTGGCTAAAAGCCCCATTTGCTTCTGTATATTGCCAGCTACAAGTTTTGTGCATTGAGGTAGTTTTTCTGTCTCAGTGAGATCACCTAGGGAGTGTCAGGGTAGCCAACTTCATTGTATGAACAAAAAGGCTTAACTGAACAATATGGGTCATTCCCCCACCAGTCAACAGCAGGCAGCACCAATGGGAGATAAACAGTGTGGATTAGTGCCACCCACTATTGTGGGTATGGCACAGGCACTACACCATAAACATCCTGGCATCTTGAAGGTATTAATGAGCTTTGAAAGGAGCCTAACTGTCAGAGTTGATGGAGATGGTGTGCCTGACTCACATTCATACTTCTTAAAAATGTTTTTCTCTTGGTGTTGATGGATATGTAACACAATAGAAAAGTGTAGAGTTGGTTAGTGGGGGTACTTTGAAGTTGGGCAGAAGGTAGGGAAGTGTGGCCTTTTAGGTGGGATCAGATAGCTTATGATGAAGTAGATTGTGGCCTGTGAATGCTGATGTCTCTCAACCAGTTGGTGCTAACTCTGTCCTAAAAAGCTATAGAAAAGAGTAGGAAAAATAACTGCATACTTCTGGGTATTTACTTATACTATTCTTAAGAGAAATCATTCATATCATAGCTTATGCCCTACAGTATTTTACTGCTTATTGAAGAGGCCAAATTGCAGTTCAGTTCTGTGTGGCTAGTAGGTCACAATCTACTACAGTTTAGGCTTTTTGTAGGCTTAGTATATAAACTAAAGGTTGATAGCAACTTACATTCCTCCCCTAAGTCTCTGGGAGTCATAAAACTAATTATTGTTACAAATAACAGAGTCATCCCTAAATATTCTATAGTAAAGGATGTATAGATTGTGTTGAAACCCTGGTATGGGAGTTAATTAGTGTATTGGACACACATTTTGAACATGGCATCCAGGGGTGATGTAGTAGTGTGGCTGCACCCTCTTGTATTGGAGTGTACTGTGGGAGCATCTGGGATCTTTTTCAAGTCCCTAATGCAGTTGGAAATCCCCCCTCTGTTCCTCTTGGTACCCAGAGGTATACCTGCCCCCCCCCCCCTTCCACCTCCCATGTATGCTTCTTCTGCTTTCCCTGCTGTCCCAGGGGTTGGGGAAGTTCCAAAGCACTCTGCCTGCCCCAGCCAGGCTGCCCTGGGCTCATCTGGGGGTAAGGACAGTGGCAACCACATGGTAGTTACCCATTCACAGCCTGGTCCCCACTGCTGCAACTCTCTGGTCCTTATCCCGAGCTGAGCCACCCTTCCCCACACAGCCTGGCTGGTAGGGCAGGCAGAAGCATCTCTGTTGCCCCCTACCCCTCTGGAGGAGGAAGCATCCCTGTTGCCCCCTCCCCTTGTGCAGGAAAGCATCAGCAGAAAGTGGGGGAGGAAAAACAAAATAAGTGCAAAGAGCTTTTGACCCATGTCCCTCATAACTGGCAGGGTTGCAGAAGGGTTAGGGAGTATTTAGAACAGCTGGATTGTGTACAAGTCCCCAGGACCTGACACAAGGTGATTGCAGAGCCTCTGGCTATTATCTTTGAAAACTCATGGCAATTGGGAGAGGTCCCTGATGATCAGAAAAGGGCAGATGTTAGTGCCCATCTTGAAGAAAGGGAAAAAGAAGGTTCCGTGTAACTACAGACGGGTCAGCCTCACCTCAGGCCCCTGGAAAAATTGTGGAGCAGACCCTCAAGGAATCCATTTCAGAACACTTGGAGAAGGTGATTAGGCACAGGCAGCATGGATTCATTAAGGGCAATTCATGTCTGACCACCCTGATTGCCTCTTATGATAAGATGGCTGGCTTTGTGGATGCTGGAAAAGCAGTGGATATAATATACTTTGACTTTATCAAGGCTTTTGATATGGCCTCCCACAACATTCTTGCAAGCAAGCTGCGGAAGCATGGGTTGGATGAATGGACTGTAAGGTGGATGGAAAGTTGGCTGGATCATTGGGCTTAAAGGGTAGTCATCAGTGGACTGATGTCCAGTTGGCAGCCAGTATCAGGTAGAGTGCCCCATAGTTTAGTCCTAGGGTCTCTTCTGTTCAATATCTTTGTCAGTGACCTGGAAGATAGGGTGGAGTGTACCTTCAGCAAGTTTCCAGATGACACCAAGCTTGGGTGGAGTAGTAGATACACTGGAGGGTAGGGCCATAATGCAAAGAGACCTAGACAATTTGGAGGATTGGACCAAATCAAATCACATGGGGTCCAAGGAGAAGTGCAAAGTCCTGCACTTAGAACAGAACAATCGCATGCACCAGTACAGGCTGGGGACTAACTAGCTAAGCAGCAGCTCTGCAGAAAAGGACCTGGTGGTTATAGCGGACAGTAAGCTGAAGATGAGCCAACAGTGTGCCATTGTTGCCGCGGAGGCTAATGGCACACCAGGCTGCATTGGTAGGACTGTTGTCATCAGGTCAAGGCAAGTGATTATTCTCCTCTATTTAGCACTGGTGAGGCCACATCTGGAGTACTGTCTAATTTTGAGACCTTCCAATACAGAAAGGATGTGGACAAATTGAAGAGAGTCCAGCACAGGGCAATAAAAATGATGAGGGGGATGGGGCACATGACTTCTAAGGAGAGGCTGAGGGAACTGGGCTTATTTAGGTTGGATAAGAGAAGGCTGAAGAGAGATTTAAGAGCAGCCTTCAACTACCTGGTGGTTATGAAGAGGATGTAGCTAGACTGTTTTCAGTGATGGCAGATGACAGAACAAGGAGCAATGGTCTCAAGTTTCAGCAAGGGTAGTTTAGGTTAGATATTAGGGAAAACTTTCTCATGAGGATGGTAGTAAAGCACTGGAACAGGCTACCCAGAGAGGTTGTGAAATCTTCATTCTTGCAGGTTTTTAAGACCCAGGTAGAGAGAGCCTTGGCTGGGATGATCTAGTTGAGGATGGTTCTGCTTCGAGCAGAGTATAGGACTAGATGACCTGGAGGTCCCTTCCATCCTTAATTTTCTGTGATTCTATAAAATCACACACAACAGTGTCATGAGAGAGTGAAAAGGCCAATGTTCAGCAGGTAGCTTCTTACACTCCTGTGCATATACCGATCGGTTGCTGCTGCCGCCTCCCATACTTTTCCGGTTTGCTGTGTCATCAGTGCCTAGAGCAGGGGCGGGCATTCAGGCAGAGGGCTGCTTACCCAGTTTTGGCAAGCTGTGGAGGGCCGCCCCTTGACAGGTGCCCGTCCCCATGTCACCATCTTGCAACTAGTGTTCCAGTGTCTTGGGACCAAAGTCCCAGGGCCAGCCACGGTGGGACCCAGAGCAGCGTGCAGGCTGGCAGGGGTCTGTGGAGCCGGGCTGGATTGTACCAGCAGGGAGAGAGGGAGCTGGCCCGGCTCCATAGAGCCCCTGTCGGGGGCCGGGACCCTGTACCCCTGCTGCCCTGCTCTGGGGCCTGCTGGTGCTGGCCCTGAGACACAGGTACAGGCCTTGTGCTTCCACGCCTGCTCACTCCCAGTGCCCTCCAGCCCCGCAGTACAGGCGGGGGGCAGCGCACAGCCCTGATCCCCTGCTCACCGGCAGGGAAGGAGCTGGTGTGGAGTGTGGAGAAAAGCGACCCTCCCCCACCCTGTGGCCAGTGCTCCCTGCTGCAGCCATTCACAGCCCGTGTGTGGCTGTGCTGATCAGGCGCAGGCAGCCCCATGTGAGGCTGCAGCACGGGGCGCTGGGCAGAGGGCAGGCGCGGGGCCGCTTTTCCCCTGCTCAGCACCAGCCTTGTAACCTGCAGCCACTGCCAGCCTGGGACCCGCGCCGGCTCTGGGCTTTCCTGTTGGGGCTGTGTTGCAGTGGCAGCAGCTGCAGCCTCCCTGCTTACCATGCTGGGCAGCCCACAGGCTGTATTTTGCCCACCCCTGGCCTAGAGCTTTAGCATGGTTCTTATTACAAAATAGTTTTAGCAGAACTTTTCAAAACTTACTTCTTTTTCAAAACGTACCTCTAATAAAAAATATATGACACTGTAAAAAATTACATGACACTGTGTGTGTGTGTGTGTGTGTGTGTGTGTGTGTGTGTGTGTGTGTGTATAAAAATAAAATGTTGTATTCCAATGTAATGCAAGTAGGGCTTCATTAGAAACAGAGAGAAAAGCCACCATTAGAACACAACACGTTGTGTAGTCATAGTTTCTACACAACTATCATTTTTGTTCACATGTGAAAACATGCAGGAACTCTGCCCTCAGTAAGTCTTCCTTGCCTATATAAATCAATGTCAATAAATAAATAATTATCAATAAATCTTCAATTATCAATAAATCAATGTCATCACTTGCTTCTGGTTTTTCCCCTTCATTCCACCTCATGCAGTAGTGTTCCATTCCAAAAGGTGTTTTCTTAAAGTGAGAAATTTTGGCAGAGGGGTATGTGTGGCTGCATGATTTGAGTGGTTATCACATGGAGACAGATTCAGTTTCTTTTTTATTCACATGGGCAGCTGAAAAGTGCAGTCATAGCTGTTTCCTAAATGATGTGAAATTAGTTGTGTTTTGTGATGAATAATATGGCTATCAATGTGGACATGACATTTTTACACCAGTGTAATCGCGCTTCACACCAGAGTAAACAAGAATGCAACATAAATCTCCACACCTGCATAACTTTCTTGAATTTGGTTGAGAACTACCCCTTCTTTTTCCCTAAGGCAAAACTACTGAGGTGAGCATTTATGTGGCCTCAGCTCTCACAGGGTAGCTTTTTTCTCTAAGCAAACTAGGTGGTCTGGCACTTTTGTGATAGAAGCTCTTGAGAGTAGTTGCTCCAGGATACATGCATGTCTTTATACTTTAGATCCTGTATGCATCAGTGTACAGATTTGATATAAATTACACTAGATGAGCAAACGTGTTGTGTGTTTAGGTTATAAGAATGAGTTTCCTTACTTGCTTGATAACATCCCTTCTTCCTGTTGGTCTCCTGGGCTACTTTCTACACCACAGTAAGAGAAAATTTTCTATATTCCCCTTCTGAAAACTCCATTGTTTTGGTCCAAAATTAGACTTGTTTCTTGTGACATTGCCAGCAACTCTGGCCTTGACATCACTTGTCTGCTTTTCCAACAAATATTTTCACACATCTTTTTAAGTATAAAGAAAGTTAAGAAAAAATTGCCTGTTAACATGTATAGAGCATCTTTTTAGACTTTCTTAAAACTTTCTTTGTAAGCTTCCTTTCCTTATAATGTTTCTTGGTACTATTTTAAATAGAAATTATATGACTGTCAGTGACTACTCTGTGAACCCAAGTTTTTTATGGTATTACCCCTTTTGAGCTTGATCTAATTCTGTCTGACTTCAGTGGGCATTGGATTAGGCATGCAGTGTGCAGAACTTTCACATTTAATTCTCTGCAATAGATTTAGACTCAAATGTAGTTTGATGTAAATACTACTACTATGCCTTCCAGAATCTAGTGAACCCTAATCTCTCATGCTCATAGTTTAAAAAGAGAAAGAACATAGAGCAGTGAGGAGTTGTATAGCTCAATTTACTTTAAAAGTAAAGTTGAGTATTTGGCTAAAGAAGCTGTGGCTCTATGATGATAAACATCTGACTGATTTACATCTTGGAGGTCAACATTTGATGCAGAATATTAGATCCTTCTTGTGGTGTGTTCTTAGAGGTTTTCTCACTTTTTTAAATAACTTGTTCTCCCTTTTTGGCTTTGAGGTAAAATGGCATTGCCTTGAACAATGGGAAGTGGGTGCCACAATAGGAAAGATGTTACAGCTTAAGGATGCAGATGGGCGAGAGGAGGCTTTTTAGTAATGATGTCATGTAATGATTTCATGTCATGTAATCATTTTAGTAATGATTTGATATCATCTATATAGAATCTGTATAATGTTGGAGTGATGCTGTAGTTGTGATGGTCAAGGAAATGAGAGGCAAAGGTTTTTGTGGGTAATATCTTTTACTTGGCTAACTATATGGTTGGGATAGACTTACACAAGCTTTTGAATGCAGTGCACATGCTTCTTCAGGACCTTGCAATTTTTCTTAAGGGACCTGAAGAAGAATGCATTACTTTCAAAAGCTTGTCTACATTTATCCTGACCATGCAGTTGGCACAGTAAAAGATATCACCCATAAAAATCCTTGCCTCTTGCATAAAATCTATATATGTATTTGTGGTTTTTCTTAAAGACATGTTTGTGCATTGGAGGACAAGATGTAGTGTAACGGAGATGCAATTTTTGAATTTTCTTCTTGTGTAATTTTGGACAGAGTTGACAGACTTAAACATTCAGGAAAGAATACTCTAAGAATGAAATAAAAAACATATACATTGTAAGTTGGTATTGGCTTGATTAGCAAAAGATTAATTCTTTAGATTAGGAAGCCTAACATAGGACATGCCTGTTTTATTGTTTAATTGCTTTAAATGTTTTATATGCATAAATGGTACTTTTGAATTTGCTTTTGTCTACTTTGTACAAATTATTTTTATAGACAAACATATAGCTTATGATCCATTTATGAGCAGAACTTGATTGTGCATTTATCAGACTTGTTAGAAAGAAGATGAATACACCTGTCTCATCATGGCCACTTGCCCCATTCTGGTGCCTTTCTTCTCCCCCTAACTCCCTCTTGCTTGCCTCCCCCTTTGCTACCCTCCCCTTCCCTTCACAGGTAGAATGTGTGTTGGTACGCTGGGAAAACATACAGCTTATGAGAATAATATATGGAACTGCTTTGAATTAAATAACAGTGATACAAGATTTTTGTTACATTGGCTTCAATAATATTTTTTGGAGGTGAAGGATTGTCTTGTTTTAAATATAGAAAACTAAGAGGGGGACAGGGGAATACCTACGTTTCATGTTTTATTCAACATCTTTTTTCCTAATTTCTTTCAGGCATCAAAACATAAAGATGATAAAGAGCAGAGTGAAGCTGTATCACCATCAGAGGAAGAAGATGCATTCTTTTGGCCTGGTCTTAAAACTGTTGTGTTAAGGAGGACACCTCAGGGCTTTGGCTTCACCTTAAGACACTTCATTGTTTATCCTCCGGACTCTTCTATTAAGGATTCTCTTAGAGTAAGTGAAATAAATAATGAAGGCCAGTTTGAAAAGTAAATGAAGGCTTTTTTTGCTGTGTACGTCTTCTACTGATATATTATAAGTATGTATGTACTAACAATCATAGCCTTCCTTCTTCTGTTAAGTATTAACTCTTGGGATTGTCTTCACTCTCAGAAAATGCATCTTTCCTGTGTTGAGCTCCTCCTTTGATTGAAGTAATGACCCAGAATCTTCAACTACTTTAAATTCCTTTCTATGTAAAATACTAAATATTTTTATCAGAAGAAGACTGAGGCACTATTTTGACATGATTTGACATAAACTGAAAAGATATGAGAAGATATTTTTATTACTATGAGTAAGTGCAGTGGTACTCTGTTACAGAAGAACTTGAAAATATTACTATCAAATGTTAATCTAATGAAAAGAGGCCAAAGGCATGGCTAATATGGAGTGAGGTGCCCATACGTAAAGATTGGGTTTGGTTCTGTAGTTGAGTGAATGAGAAAAATAAACTTGTCTTTAGCATCATGGGCATCCAGAAATTGCCAGAGTTATTAACTACAATTCAGCACATTAGTTCTCTTTATTTTGCATATTAAGTTACAACATTAATAGTATAATAGTTAATGATAACAGTTGCTAAAGCAGTAGGTCTTTCAAATTTATCCTCCTGTTCATCATTCTTGTATAAATAGTTGCATCCAGAGACCCTGATGAGAATCATGGGTTCCATTTTACTAAATACTATACAAATACAGGTAAGGTATGGTCCATATCCTAAACAAATTATAATATTGAAAGGGAAGTGACATACAAAACAGCAGGAGAGGGATAGATAAAATACATAAACATTTTTTATATGTTTGTGTAAAAGTGTATTATGAATATTGACGATTCTTCTTTGGTTCTCAGCCGAGCTTTAGTGAATTGATTGTCTTGCAGACATCACAATACAGGTTGGTTTAGAGAAGAGTGTTCAAGAATGTAGTAGCCTGTTTCATTAATTCAGGAAGGGTATTTCATGTTTAATGGGCAGTGTGAAGAGAGGCAAGTCTGACATCACTGGGAGTACAAAGGTCCTGTGAAGAGACAAAGTAGATGACTATCTATTAGTTAGCCACTTAAACTTATATTTGTAAGTTAAAATCTTCTGCATACTAAATTAATCTGACAGGCAGTTGTTTGTATTTTGTGAATGATGCATTCTGTCAGAAACTGTTCATACTGAAGTTTGCAACATGAGGTGAATGTGAAAAACGAAACAAAATAAAACAAGATTCCAGATTTGGAAGCATTTGAATTGTAAAACACTCTATTTTTAAAGGACTGAAATCATTGTCTTGGTATCATACAAAATTTGTTAGCATTCAGTGTTTTGCAGCTGTTTTATGATTGTTTATACTAGATGACAGCCTTGCAATACTTTACAAAGTGATACCAGTTCTACAATTAGTAATTTTTCAATCTTGAGTTTACTGTAGCATATAATAATCTGGTCCCTTTCATAGTGGTGACCCATACTTTTATAACCTCAGAGAATGAGAATCCAAATATTTTAGTCAGATGCACATTTTTTTCATTCAGTGAACTTGGTGGAAACTAGAATGATACAGATGTTTGTCATTGTCATTCTGTGCTTCAGTTCTTTGGATGATCAGTTCAAAACAAATCAAATTGTTGCAGGAAGTGGGTACTGTATTAATGGCTTGTAGCACTGATTCATAGGATCAAAGGAAAGCAGGGCTGGAAGGGACCTCACAAGGTCATCTGGTCCAGGCCCTGGTCAAGGCAGGAGCATTCCTGACTAAACCACCCCAGCCAAGTGTCTAACCTGCTCTTGAAAATTTCCAAGAATGGAGAGTCCACAGTTTCTCTAGATAGTCTGTTCCAATGCTTCACCACTCTCACAGTCAGATTGTTCCTCCTAATCTCTGACCTAAATTTCCCATGCTGAATCTTGACACCATTGATCCTAGTCCTGTCCCCTGTAGCAACAGAGAAAAGCCCATTTCCATCCTCTCTGTAATTGCCCTGCAAGTATTTGAAGACTATTTTGAAATCCCTCCTCAGTCTTCTAGTCTCCACATTAAAATAACCCTAATTCTTTCAGCCTTTCCTCATAAATCTTGCCTCCCAGGCACCTAATCATTTTTCTTGTTCTGCTTTGGACTTTTTTTCTGATCTGTTCATATCTTTCTTGAAGTGCTGGGCCCAAAACTGAATACAGTACTTTGCGAGGCCTCACCAGTACCAAATAGTGAGGAAGAACTACTTTCCTTCATTTATAAATGATGCTTGTGTTAATACAACCTAGCATACTGTTGTTTTTTTTTGTAACAAGAACCCATTATTGAATCTTATTCAGCTTATGGTCTGCTGTAATCTGCAGGTCCTTCTTTGTAACCTAGACCAGTGTTTCTCAACCAGTGGGACATGTCACACTGGTGGGACTTGAAGGTCATGTAGGTGGGACTTCAGCTCAGTGCCCAATTGGGCAAAAAAATCAGTTGTTTGAACTTCAGATAGATGGAT